CCTAGCCTCTGGAAGGATTATTTCCTTCAACATTCTTCCGATTCCATGGTATTTCATACTCTTCCAGTTATTTTCTATATTCGATTATTACTACATAATTAAGTTTTGTATTTTGAGTTTTCATGGTTTCCTACTTGCTTGATTTAATTTCAAAAGTTGAGTCTCTGTGTTTTGTCATGCCTCTATGGCCACATATTCATTTTTATTAGCTAACAAAACCCCTTGGTTTGTATGTATGAATTATTAGGCCATATATATAGTCACTCTCATCTCTAGTACTGTTTCTTAGGGGAATTAAGCTCTCACTTTCAGTTGTTGAAAAAAAAAAAAAAAAAAAAAGAGGTTATCAGTTTAAGCTTTAGCACAAAATTGAATTGCTATTACATATTTAATATTCTGTTTTGGAATGATTTTGCAGAAAATTGAACCTAGAATACAAGACGAACATGAAGAATTAAAGCAACAAGTAAAGAGAATGATAACTGATGCTACCACAATCAAACTTTCAAAGAAATTGCATTTGATAGATCCGATTCAACGCTTGGGCATTGTTTACCATTTTGAGATAGAAATTGACAATGCCTTAGAGAAGATACATCTCAGTGGTGTCGATCATGTTGAATATGATCTTCATACAACTGCTGTTTGGTTTCGGTTACTTAGACAACAAGGAATCAAGTTCCATCTGGTTAGTCCTTTTTCTTAACATCCAAAAAATGTTTTAATATCTAATAAAAGATTGTGTTTATGACTTGTGATATACATATATATATATATGTTAACTTTTAGTTAGTTGCACTGATGGTGTTATTGCTATATATTGATGTAGAGATATTCAAGAAATTCATGGATGAAAAGGGAAAATTCAAGGAAGATTTAGTAAATGATGTGCTTGGAATGTTAAATCTATATGAGGCTGCACATCTTCAATTTCATGGAGAAGATATCTTGGAAGAAGCTATTGCTTTCACTACCTCTCGTCTTGAATCAATGGCAACAAAACTAAGCCCTTTGCTTGCAGAACAAATAGCTCATGCTCTAATCCACCCCATCCGAAAAGGTTTACTGAGAATTGAAGCAAGGCATTACATCTCTTCGTACTCTGGAGAAACCCATTTTACTTCCTCTAATGTAGCATTACTTAAATTTGCAAGATGGATTTCAACACGGTACAAGCATTGCATCTAAAAGAACTCAATGGAATTACCAAGTAAGTTTGATTTTCTCTCTCTCTCTCTCTCTCTCTCTTCAATAAACTTCTAATGATGGTGATTTATTATTTTAGGCTTCGAATTTGGCTTCAAAATTGGCTTGGTTTTTAGGTGGTGGAAAGACTTGGATTTTACAACAAATTTACCATATGCAAGGGACAGACTTGTGGAGTGCTATTTTTGGATAATGGGAGCTTACTTTGAACCCAAATACTCCCTTGTAAGGACATTTCTAACTAAAGTAACAGCCATGACATCCATTTTGGATGATACATATGATAACCATGGGACATATGAAGAACTTGAGCTCTTGATCAAGTGTATTGAAAGGTTAGATTCTCAACTTTAAACTCGACCATTTTAGTTAAATTTTACTACACTATAAAATTCTTAAATTCTTCAATAAATTCCAAATAAATACGCAATAAATCTTTTAAAATCCTTAAGTGAAAAGTACCAAGAGGTAAAAAAATTGTGTAACAAAAAAGATATTTTGATAGATAAAGTTTATAAGAATGACTAAGAAAGAATGATAGAGATGAGAGGATAATAAGAGAATGAATAATAACAAATAAATTTTTAATATAAAGAGGAAGAAATAGGGAGATAATGTAGGCCTTTGAATTTATATTGGTTAAAATTTATAACTTTATTTGTATGTGTATAAATTTATTGCATATATGATTGAATTATTTGTGATTTTAAGATACATGTATATATATATATATGTTATTATAATCATGAGGAAACAAAAAAATATGTAATAATAGATAGAAAGAAAAAAAATGGGTAAAAAGAACAATAATAATAAATGATGGGAAAATAATTAG